TTCCTTCCTTCCTTCCTTCCTTCCTTCCTTCCTTCCTTCCTTCCTTCTTTCCTTCCTTCCTTCCTTCCTTCAAACCAGGTGGTCAGAGAGATGAGCACCCAGTAAACAGACATCTCAACTGGGCACCCAGATACCCAGCTCCCCACACTATAAGATTCACCCATTCAGCTCCTGCCATCTGCCCTCCAGGTCTTGTTTTGGTTAAGTCCACAGACTTACAGGGTTGATGTTGTCGACTTACAGGATCTAGAATCACCAGGGTAACAAATCTCTTTGCATGACTGTGAGGGAGTTTCTAGATTGGGTGGAGGTGGGAGGATCCACCTTAAGTGTAGGGAGAATCATTCAATAAGTTCCTGGACTGAATAAAAAGGAGAAAGCAAGCTGAGTACCAGCTTGTTTTCACTTGTTTCTGTCTGTTTCTCTCTCTGTCTCTCTCTCTTTCTCTCTGTCCCTCTCTGTGTGTCTCTCTCTGTGTGTCTCTCTCTGTGTCTTCTCTCTCTCTCACTTGCAGATGAGATGCGATCAGCAGCCTCATATTCCTACCATGGTGGCTTTCTCATCATGGTGTACTTTCAAACTGTGATCTAGGACAAACCCTTTCTTCCTTAAATTGTCTTTGACACAAGTAACTAAAACTGCTTCTGCAAATGGGAAGATTCCACTCCCACCTCAGACACCTGGTCACCAGAGCCTTGACTGACTCAGTGCAATGCTTTCATTAGTGGACATCACAGTACTGACAGGTCTCAGAGTAGGACCTGGGCCCTCTCAGGAAGTCACAGCTATCACCTCAGCCTCTTGGACAGTTGCCAATGTTGTCTTAGGAGAAAAGTGATTAAGCTTTCTGTCTTCTTTCCAATGTGGTCACATCTTTGAGAAGGGAAGTGTAAATAGTCCTACTTCAGAAAACATGTCCTGATATAGGAGATGAAGTTAGAGTAGGGAAGTAGGGAGTTTTCATATATTCTCAAAAAATCAACTTGATTTGACTTTTATTTTGCAATTACACTCTGTGATATATTTACACTCTCAGTTCAGTTCTGTTTAATAGTGTAGTGCTGAAAAAAGAAATAGGAGCCAGTGGAGCTTGGTGACTGAGGAGAAGCCAGCCCACTGCTGATAGCTGGTCCTTGGTCTAAGGGCAGCACCCAGAGACCACTGAGCCTGACACTTGCCCCAGCCTACCTTGGTTCAGTTATATTTGCAATAAATCAACGTCAAACAGTCTACCACCAAGGGGCTTGAGAGTAATGCCCTAAGCTTGTGTCACCCTAGTGTCTGGCCAAGGCAAGGCTGATTACCATCAACTCTGAGTCAGAACTACAATCCCTTTGTCCTGAAGTCATCTAGTGTAGCAATCACTTTTTTTTTTTCTTCATGGCTGCAGTCAAGTGCTTAACAACATCAATTTAATAGAGGAAGTGTTTCTTTAGCTCACAGTCTGAGAGTACAACCCACCATGATGATGAAGACATGGTGGTAGGAGCTCCAAACAACTAGACACATTGTGTCTGCAGTCAGGCAGCAGAAAGAGAGAGAGAGAAAGAGAGAAAGATGAATGCTGGTGATCGGCTCACCTCCATTTTACCCATTGTGAGACCTCAGCCCATGAGATGTTAGCACCCACATTTAGGAAAGATCTTCCCACCTCATTAACCCAACACAGAATTTCCCTCTCAGACTTACCCAGAGCCTTGTCTCCTAGGTAACTCTATCTCCTGTCAGGCTGATAATCAATGTTATCACACCTGATGTTATAAGCTGACTAAAATGTCGTCCACCAGCTCAGGGTTTCAAGGCTCAGACTCCAGCCTGAGGCGCTGTCTCAAGGGCTGTGGGAATTTCTTGGAGACGCAGACTACCCACTAGATATAGATTACGAGGGACAGGCCTTCAAAGTTTATGCCCACCCTTGGTTCTGTCTTGTGCCCTCTGTTATCTGATCCACGCTATATGAGGAAACTACATCATGCTCTCTGCTCTGCCATGCCTTTCCCACAACGATGGGCTGGATGGAAACCATCCCTCTGAAACCATGAACTAAAAAAAAATAAACCTAGCTACATGGAAAATAATGCATCTAGTAAGATTTTTTTTTTCTTTAAAAAGAGGAACCAACTTAAATCTGAAATTCTTCTCAATGGCATGGGAGGTAAGTGCAGGGATTCTTTGCAGCATCCAGGAGATGGCATCTGCCAGGCTGGAGTCAGTGCCATGTAACGTGGCTGTTTGAAGTGTCACATATCTACTAACCGAGATGTTCTTGGCACCAAGATCCAAGAGACCCAGTGCCATAGGAAGAGAAATAGCATTCACTGAAATGCCAAAACTACTCTGTAATGATGCTTGGTCTGGTCAGGCTGTAGGCTGAGTAATACTTGGGATGCCACAACTAAGTGACACATTGTACCATTCCTGCCAGCCTGGGGAAATAGTACATGCCATGCCCCTTAGGTCCTGATAGCATTCTCAGAGACGGGAGGGGGGGGGGGACAACTTCACTCAGGATCCTGATATAAAGTACTCAAGAGCCAAACTGGGCCCCATGGGGGAGGCAGACACTTGTGAGTGTGAGCAGGGGTCCTTCTAAGAGCTCTGTTCCCCACCCCGCCTCCCGCTGGGTGGAGACGTGTGAATGCAGGGCACTGTCTTAGATGGGAAGCATTTCACCATAAGGACTTTGGGCAGATCCTATCAGCATCTAAGAGCCTCACTCACATGGCAGCCATTTCGAGCTGAAATTGTGTAGCTGAAACTCTAGGAAGCAGTAAAGGCTGGACATTCCCTCATGGCTGGACAGAGTTAAAAGGTCACTTAACTGGATCTTAGACAAACCAGGACCCATCTAGGCAGCCTGAGTCACTGTCAGCCCGGTTCCACAACAGAAAGTTTCCTGACTGGGGCTGACTGGCCATCGCCTCCATCTATTGACCTATTGTTGGCTGGATGTTTTCGATAATTTAAATGAAACACTGTTGCCCATTCTGCTCTTTCACTCCAAAAGTCTATAGTCCAAATACAGACAATATATTAGACCCCTATGCATTACTGCCTGAGGATTTCAGTGTGTCCTGGCCCTTAGCCACACAGCTAACACACTTGACTTCTCAAGGGGAAGCATCAATCTGTAAGTGCTGAACTGGAAAATGGGTATTTTATTTTATACCGATTTAATTTGCTACCAATGACTATCTAATGACGTGCACTGCAAGTCTGACTTACTGGCAGGAAAGCATCATGTCTTACTGTAAATACTGGATTCTGTTGACAGGGTAAGCAACAGGAGATCCTTAGCATCACTACATGTTCTAGGCATGACTTTCTGTCTGGGAGAACTCTTTACCACAGTCACAAGTATGGAAAATTGTACAGTCTCTGAGTGGCTCTTAGAAGCCAACCAACAACTGTGTAATATCTTCCTCCACTGGGCAGGGGAAGGGGGGCGGAGCCTCTGTAGCAATGGGAGTTTGGACAATGAGGTTTGGGGTTTGCTCAAGTGTGACTTTCCAGTAGCAAAGGGGAAAAGCAGAGAGCCAGGCACAGGTAGCACAAGCATTCTGTCTTTGTTCCCATACTGAGGAGAAGGGCCCAGCTAACAGTAAACCAAGCTGTGCTCCCCTGACTGTGGCTGTTCCTGCTCCCCAGACACCAGCATGCTCACTCCCAGTCATATAGGGCTGGCTGGCTTGCTAGGCCTCACCTTCCTGTATTTTTCTCAGCCTCCCCGGCTAGACACTCAGGGCTTTCATTGAGGCCATTAATCTCTAGATGGAATCAACTGATCCAAGTCAACACTGTAGACTTCTGTCTTAAATTTAAAGAGTTTCAATGTGCTAGAGGATTCACAACCAAGCATACTTTTTGGTTTCGAAAATAATGTTACTGAAAGTCGAAAGGGAGCTTTGAAATCTTAGCCTCTGGTTGCTGTAAAGCCTCTGGTCTCTTCATCCTGCTGAGAGGTGTGGCCAGCACCAGGAGAGGGGGGAAAACAGCTGAACTCTCAGGGAAGATGTGGTTTTCCTACCACCCAGAGACACACTGATAGCTTAGAAACACATTGCCCTGGACTTATGGAAACCATTTCATTAACAAAATCATAAACCTACGAGAACTTCATTCTAGAGTACAGGCACCAAACATTACACTACCATAAGGCAGTAGATAGCACATAGTTAGACACGTAAATACCCCCAAACAGCTGAACAGAGCCTGCACTGTGCAATACCAAGTCCATTTATATGCAAAGTAATGTGTATATGTGGCTATTACATTTCACAGACCGTAATGATAGATCTCGATAGATCTTGAAATCTAAAATCCAAGTAGCTACATCCACTTATCTTCAATAGCTCCTTATTTTGTATTTATTGAGAGCAATACATTATTATATTAGAAATGAGAAACCAACAGAAAATCCTGTAAGTAACAGGATTAATAGGAATTAAATACCATTTCCAACAATGAGATATTTTGAATACAGACGTGTAAATTCAAGAAGCTGAGAAATTCGAACTGGAGGTTGACGTTTTCTGCTTTACGTTTTCCTTACTTATAAACTTCTGGAAGGAGCTAGGTGCCCCAAGTCAAAAACCACGGCCAGTGCCATTTAAAATGCTGCTCCCGATGGCTGCTAAACACCATAATGCTGCCACATAGTTTAACTTAATGATTTACTTGTTAACAATCTAGATTGGTACCAAGCCTGGCCACTGCTAGAATGGTTTAGACTCTTACCGTACAAGATAAATGGAACCAAAGTGTCTGAAAACACGATGAACACCTTTTCAAAACTACGAGTTAGTCCAATGATAGCCACACTTGGGCCTTCAAACATTAGTTTTAAACGGCTATTTGCTTCAAATATAGGATCGTGGAAGTCTTACCCAGTCCTGCTATTCCCATTCAAATTGGGTGATCATTTACCTTCAAAGTTTTTGTCCAGATCCTGAAGGCCTTCATTCAAATCTTGAGCACTCGTACCACGAAAAAGGCCATAGGTGATTACAATGGTACCATTGGAAATAGCGTCTGTGAAGAAAATCGTGCTGGTGATCCATACCTGTGTTCCCAGAATTGAGCAGATGACAACAACAGAGCCAAGGCTTGTGAGAAAGCCAGAAAGGAACATCAATGTTTTCTGTGTGGTTGGCATTTTTCAGAAAAGAAAAGAAAAACAAAACAAAACAAAAAAACCCTCCTTGGGATGAAACAGCAACAATCTTAGAATATTTGGGGGCCTTATCATTTGGAGCCCAGTGCTTAGAAAGGAAGCCTAGTACTTTTCTGTAAATGTGAAACCTGAGTCTTCATGGGAAGTTTTATGCTACTGAACATTGAACTATGAACAGGCCATAAAGACAAGGCTGAACCGACCTTTGGTCTAGAACAAATGGTTGTTATGGCTGCGGCCAACCAGCATGAAGAAGGGCTAGGCTGTTCTTCCAGGATTTCCTCAATCACATGACTACTTTATAACTTTTATCATGCCATGGAAGCCTGGTCAACCTACAGGGTCAGGACATAATTTGAATTCTCAAATGATGAGAATAGAAACTTATCCCCCAAAGAGATAGTACAAGGATCCAGAGCCTTAGGGAGTCATCTATGAAGGATTTATCCATTACTGTGATTCCCAAAGCAAACCTCAAACCTTTATCAAGGTACTGTGAAGTGGAAAGAGAAAGGCATTCTTCCTTCTAGGTTAAAACTCTTTATTCTCAGACCTTATTTGGGAGGGATGCTCTTTAAATTCTCTCTTCTAAATGGCATCCTTTTTGCATCTTAATTAAATGATAGCTTCAGAGGTTATATCTTTATTAGTCTTTATCAGTGCTCTGCTAAAGGTGGTTCTAAACATTCTTGCTTAGATCTCGTTATAGTTACTTTTCTATTTCCGTGAAGGGACATAGGCAACTTACAAAGCATTTAATTGGGAGCTTGCTTAGAGTTTCAGAGAGTTTAGTCATGGCAGTAGGTGTGGCAGCCTGCAGGCATGGTATTGGAGGAACAGCTGAGAGTTTATATCCTGAACTTCAGGTAGGAGACAAAGAAAGAGAGAGAGCAAGACTGAGTCTGGCATGAGCTTTTGAAACCACAGAGTCCACCCCAGTAACACACCTCCTCCAAGAGCACCAAACCTTCTAAACCACCATAATCTCTAACTCCTGTCCTTATGGCCCAGCAGTTAGCAGTCTCAGTGGTCATTTCCAGTCCTTGGTGATATTTGCTCACTCATTTCTTGAGATTACAAACAGGTTCGCAAACTATTCTTCCATTTCTATTTTATTGTGTTCTTTGATTACAGAGCAATATTGAACATGCACATAAGAACCCTGTGCTTTTCTTAGATAATCTACTTACCTGTGGAATGAGGTGTCTCCTCTCATAAAAAAGGAGAAAAGGGACTGAAGATACACAAATCACTAGACTCAGCTACTTCACTTCTGTAGGAAAGAGACACAGAGAGATGATTGTAGAATAATTAAATAGCTATTGAAAGGCAAGGTAGGCATCCAGTTACAGTAAGGATAGGGGCATGTCACACTTCTGTTGGTGGCTTTCTGGGGCATTTAGAGTGCATTGAAGAGGATTCCAGTTATGCACAAATGTGGTTCAAGAATCAATTCCAAGCTCGTACTGTTTCAGTCTAAGATACTGCTGCACATTAACAGGATGAGACACTTTCAGGTCAACTGTAAAAAAACAGTAAGGGCTGTGATCATTATGAAGATTCCAGAGGTTGAACCGTGCTGTAATTCTTCAAAGTTCCAGTCAACCAGGATATAAAACTCTTGGGGAGGGGGATACCTCAGTCATTTAGGTTAGGATGCAAAATGATTGTGCCTTAAGCCTGGGCTGCCTTTTCCATGGGGGAAGGGTTTCCATAGACACATCCTAACAACTTAAAAATTATCTGGGCAATGCCTTCAGCCAGCAACAAGAAATCACAAACATTATAGTAAAATGAAAATAAGGCAGGAAAAAATAAACCCACAGAAACAAGGAGTCCTTAGCCCCACCCCCATTAATAGAAGCACACTCATAGATAATATAGGTGTTTAAAGTAGGAGACAAGAAGTAGGAAATGCTGTTATAAAAATGTTCAAGGATTTAAAGGAAAGGATGATATAAGCTGTAAGTCAGCTTTCATTGTCAACTTGACATACCGAGGAGGGGGAACCTCAATTTTGGCATTGCCTTCATTGGGCTGACCAGTGGGCACGTCTGTGGGGTCTTTTCTTAATTGCTATTTTGATGCAGGAAAGCCGAGCCCACTGTGGGCAGTGCCATCCTCAGACTAGTAGGTCTGTGCTGTGTAAGAAAGGCAGCTGACTAAGGCAGAGAAAGCAAGCCAGTAAGCGGAGTACCTCCGTGGTTCTCTCTCAGTTCCTGTCTTGAGTTCCTGCTTTCCTTCCCACAACGATGAGATTAGGCGCCTCCCCCACTTTTGACCTCCATGTTTATCACAGCAACAGAAAAAGCAAAGTAGGGCAGAAGAAAGCCTCTGCAGAGAGATAAAAAATTATTTTTTAAAATAACCAAGTGAAAAACTCTATGATCTAAAAATACAAAATTCTAATTTCATTTTACTTTAAGTCAGGAAGGCAGAAAGAAAGTCGCAATGAGATATTTTAAATCACATTTTTTTTTTCATGAGAGAAATAATAAATTATATTTATACAGTAAATAAGTATCAACAGTCGACACAAATCCAAAACCAACCACCAGTCCTGGGACTGAGAAACAGCTGGGTGACTTCTTTCAGGGAGTTCACTGGAAAAGGTATGGTAGCATGTGTGAAGTACACATGGCAGTGGCCGGTGGCTTCCAGTGTGCGCAGTAGGGTAACAGGGGCATGCGCAGAACGGCCTGTTTGGGGAGGGAGCCCAGTGGCTCCTGGGGTAGGGCCTCAGACAGAAGACATCTCCTCTTCTGCAACGGATCACTGATTCTTAAATCACATTTCTAGAAACCGTGATAAAGAGGAAAAAAAAAAAAAAACTAGAAAATAAAACTAGAGAGAAAAAAAAAAAATCTGTTACCTAACCATGGATAGGCAATAAAGGGCGAATCTCCAAAAGATTTTGCTGCGTGAAAGAAACTAGAAATAACATAATGTGTAGAAGAGCCATCTGCCTATATATAACATACTCTCTAATCACATTCCTATAAAGAGCAAAAGCAGGCGACGCTTGCTTTGGTAACAGACATCAGAATAATGGCTTGTCCTTGTGGGATGCGTCATTTTCTGAAAAGGGGCAGGAGGGGGTGTTTTAGGAGAGCAAAATGTCAGAAAGAGAGAGTGTTTGTGTGTGTGTGTGTGTGCAGGTGTGTCTATGTGTGCAAGTATGTCTGTGTGTCTGTGTGTGGAGGTGTGGGGGGGGAAGGGGATTGATTTCCGGGAGCCATCCAACTTGTTTTATTGAGACAAAGTCTCTCATTAGTACCTGAGCCTCAGTGATTTGGCTAGACTTGCAAGCCAATGAACCCCAAGGATCCATTTGTTTCCACCCTTCAGTGATGGGATTATAAGCTTGCACTCTATCCCTGGCCCTTTACCTGGGTAGTGAGTCAACCGGGCTACTCATTCTGCGGGACAGGCACTTTACCGACTGAGCCATCTCTCCAAGTCCAAAATGTCAGTATCTTGGTAGGGGCATGCATATCACTTACACACATGTCTCTATGCACTTCACTGTGTCCTTAGGCCCTGCACGTTGTATGTATATAGTTCATCAATAAAAAGAAGCCCAAGAAAAATAATTACATATTGTGAGCACCCAGACTAGGGCAAAACTTTCAGGTTTTTGTCTTGTTGTTTGTTTTCTGGGCAAGTGGAGAGGCTTCCTGCAAAGAGTCATTCCTTTTGATTCCAGTGGCCAAGAACTGTTAGTACCGGGCCTAATTTGTAAAAAGAGGGGTAGAGGGAATAATATTGAGATGACAGAAATGAAAGCTACCAGTATCTTCCAGAGGTCGTAAGAGGCATCTCCCTTTGTATGGACAGGTACTAACTGAAACCACAAAGCCCGGATGCTTTCTCTCCTTTGTCTTGTTTACTGTGCCCTGTGGACAATCACTAAAGCCTGATACTTCTCCTAAAGTTGGGTAACTTTGTGTTAACTTTTGCCATATTTTTCAAAAGCAAATTCTATTTTTTTCTTTAACATCAGTGTTGCCCCCTTTTTGCTTATCCCCCCAAAGGACTATCTCGAGCCTCAACACTTGAATTTAGCCTCTAAGCTGGATAAGCACTCTCAAGTTACTATGGAGAGGGGGTGGAGTACGGCCAGTGGGTAGAGTGCTTGTGCAGCATGCACAAAGCCAAGCCCTGGATTTGATGCACAGCACTAACACTGCAGAAAGCTAGACGTGAAGACACATGCCTATTCTCTAGGAGAATCAGGAATTCAAGACCATCTCTGGGTACATATTGAATTTGAAGCTTAGGTTATAGGAGACCCTGTGTAAAAAAAAAAAAAAAAAAAAAAAAGTTACTGTAGGGAGGGAGAAATGGTTCAGTGGTTAAGAATCCTTGCTATTCTTGCAAAGGACCTGAGTTCGGTTCCCAGAACCCACATGAGGTAGTTCACAAACACCTGTACCTCTAGCTCCAGGAGATCCAGCACCTTCTTCTGGCCTCCTAAACTCAAGGGCATTTAACTCATACATAGACACACACACACACACACACATAATTTCTTAAGTCATAAAAATATTTTTAAGCTACTGAAGAGAATTCCAGTGGTCAAGTCTTTGAGTGCAATGGAAGACAGAACACGTGATCTGGTGAGGATACAGTTCTAGGAAAGCTGCCTGGGTGGAATCATGTTCTAAAGGAAAAATAGGATGGTCAGATATGAGGGGAGAACTCAGGAGGCAGAGGGGTAGATGGCTGGCCTCAGAGGGGCAGTCAGACAGAGGAAATTATGGTTAGAGAGGGACTATGGTTCAGGTACTAAAAGACAGTAAGCATTTAGGATGGTGTGAGGCAGGGAGGTCCTTGTGGTCTAGGATGGGGGGAAGGTATACACATACAGATGCTGACTGGTATCATGAACCCAAAGGAGGAGCAAGGATAATGAAGGATAACATGTGTTTGAGTGACAGGATGTCTGTAGACTTCAGAAGATGTTAAGGAATACCATTTAATTCCTAGAATAACATTTGGGGTCCAACAGGGCAGATATTACTGGGAGAGGAGAGCCATCTGCCTCCTCATCATGTTCTCAAGGCTGTCACTTTCCAACAGCAGATGTCTGACTGAGGCAACATGTTCCCCTCTTGGTGGATAACAGTCTCTGCCTCCCCACCCCTGCCGTGTTAACAAGCTTATCAGGGCTTTGAAACTGTCGCTGTCTTTAATATTAGCTCGGATCTGCAGCTTCAGCAGCAATAAAATCCAGGGCTGGGTGATGTCATTGAGCCACTTGGCCACACCCAAACCGGGCAGTTCCCTGGGGGTACACTCAGGAGGGAACTACCTGCCCCACTCTGCTCTGGGCAGGTAATAGGAATGCCTGCTGCTGCCTGCCGCAGCTTGTCCTCCTTTGCTCAGCCAGCCCACATGTTCACTGAATGTTCTGGCTGTTGACTATGTCTCATGTTGCAGGAACAGGGGCAAGCACAGCTGGGCTGATGGCACTTCCAGCCCTGGGGCAAATGAAAGGATCAATGACCAAACAATGCCAAAACAAACAATGCCAAACAATGCCAGCTCTTGGGAGGCAGACGTGGGTGGATCTCTGATTCCATACCAACCTGGTCTACATAGTGAGTTCCAGGCCAGCCAGAGTTACATAGTGAGGGGGAAAATATATATATCTATATTCAATGATGGAATAGAAGAGGGTGTGAGGGCTTTGGGAAGGCAATTGGTAGGAAGGTAGCAAGAGGGGAGGGACCTAGATGACAGGAAGGGTCATTTCTCAAGCACCGAGAAGAAGAGCCAGGGCTCAGGAAACACTGGGCAAGTCGGGAACAGCCTCATTGCTGTCAGGATTTTACTCAAGGCAGAGGTTTTTAAGCAGGGGGTCTGAAATCAGAGGACAATGCCGTCACAGGAGAAGCAGGCACAGTGAGGGAGAGAAGGGACTGAATTCAAGATGCACAGGGGTGCCAAGCAAGAGTTAGATTTGGAGGTGGACTAGAGGCAGAGTCAAGGCCCAGAAACCAAAGCAAGAGCCTGGGTTGAACAGGCAGAAGGTGCTAGAAGAACTGAGCTTGCAGGTGGCTGGAAGGCTGCATGCTTCTGAATGATGTGCACGTGGATGTTGTTACATCTCTGGAGAAGCCCGTAGGAGCAGGACTGAGTGAGGTAGGAAAGGAAGGAAGACCCATTTAGGTCTTCAGGGACAGAGGTGTGGGGGGCAGAGAAGGAAGACTGACCTTGGGTCCTAACAACATGGGAAAGGAAGAGCATTCTTCTTAGCACTCTGGAGGGTTCCAAGGCTCTTCAGGCTTCCAGTCTACAGCTCCATCCAAAACAGGCCCCAGCTCAGTTAAGAATTGACTGTTGGCTCTCTGAAAGTGTCACCTTGTAAGTCAGCTTGGCTCTGCAGCCCTAACAGCAATAAAATGCAGAGTGAGGTAACGCCCCATACAGGCCTCTTTCTTGCTATTCATTGTTTATCTCCTCATTCATTTAAAAGCTCAACAGGCAGGGTTCCTAACACAGAACCAGCATCACCACAAGACTGTTTTCTGGCTGAACCCTTAGGGTACAACAAAACAGATTCAGAACCAAGACAGACACCATATCTTTGCTGTGCTTTCTGTCGTCTACTCAGGATGTCCTTGTTCTAGTTTCATTTTTGTTACTGGGATAAAATATCTTGGCGGGAGGGTGGGGGGAGAAAATTCAGGAAGAAAGGATTTACTTGACTTAGAGCTCTAGGTTACAGTCCACCATTTCAGGGAAGTCAAGGCAAGAACTTCAGACATCACGTCCAAAGGCAAGAGCAAAGAAAATAAACACATCCTTGCTTGCTTACTGTCTTCTAGCTTTCTCTTTTATACTGTTCAGGAACCTCCAATCTAGGGAATGGTGTTGCCCACTATGGGCTGACATTTCCTTTGTCGATTAACAATGCAGACAACCGCCCCCCCCCCCAACACACACACAGGCATACCTGAAGCCCAGCCTGATCTAAATTATTCCCCCTTGAGACTCAATTCTAGATTGTGTCAAACTGGATTTCGTTTATCGTCGAAACAAAATCACTACGAATAAGTTCCCAGAGCAGAGAGCCTGTCCCTGTACTGCTCCGCGTGTGTTTAATTTTGCCAGACATTTCTTACTAATTGTACGCCCTCCAGCACCCACCATGGGGCGCCAGAACGCTCTTTTTTTGGGGGAGGGAATGTCTGGGACATTCCCCAGCTCTGCCAACTTCTCTGAAGTAGGGCTGTTACCAGGTGGCCCAGCCCAGCTTTACCAGCTGTGAGACCTGTGCATCCCAGGCCGACTATTTCCAGGACCAAGGCTGAACAGGAGGGACCTTGCAGTTTTTTTTCCCCCCGCGTGTCTGAGTGTCACCGCCATTTGGGACCCTCCAGGATACCCAGTGTCCAGACAGAGGGGCTGGAGAGGGCCTCCATGTTGAGGTCGTGTACCTTTATCCTTTGAGTGTCGAGGCCACAGCCCCGGGAGGGCCGGCGCCCGCGGTGCGCTCCCAGAGCCAAGCACCAGGCGTCGCCGTCGCCCCTCGCAGCACCAGGGCCCCGCCCCCGGCCGCGGAGCCGGAGACCTAGCCCAGCGCTGGAGGCGGCCAGACAGATTTCCTGCTCTCCCGTAGGACTGAGGGCTGCGGGGCTGCGGGCTGTGGGCTGCGGGCTACGGGAGAAGTCGCCGGCAGCACCGGGACCTCGCTGCCCCCGCGCGTCCCCACGACCCTCCCTTGCGCCGGCAGGGACAGCGGACGCCCCGGAGCAGAGCGCGGCGGGCGGGCGCCCGGGAGATGCGGAGTCGCCGCGGCAGCGCGATCGGCGCGGCAGCACCGGTCCCTGAAAGGTGAGTGGCGCGGTGTGGGCCGGCGGCCGTGAGTCCCGAGGTGGCTGTGCACCCCTTGCACACTGAGCAGACCGAGGTAGCCTGGGCCACTGCCGCGGGAGGGATGGGTCGTGTCCGGTCCGAGCCAGGTCCTTGCCACCCTCCTAGTGCATTGGGTGCTAGCGACTAAAGACCTTGCAACCCCCGGCCACCTGCCCGAGGCGCAGTCCCAATTTGGCCACCACCTCGGCAGCTCTCTCGGTGAACGGCTACACGGAGGGCGTGGATCTGCGGGTGGTGACCGTGGGGAGGGTACAGCGACCCGGCGACTGGTGTGAGTATGAACGCAATGGAAACGGGAGGGGGTGCCAACCGGTGTGTTGGGGGCTGCGCACGCAGGGCTTGAGACTGGAGCATTTCCAGAAAGTGACTCGAGTTGCGCCAACTCCGGGAGCAGCGGAGGCGATGCGGGGATGCTGGCCGCCAGCCTGGGGCCCAGTGCCTTCAGAGGCAGGCATCAGCTGGGGATTCAGGGTCGCGGTGTGGAAACCTGGAAGGTAGCCCAGGTCTGACGCCAGGAATTGCCATTCGCAGAATGACCTGAGGAGGTCCTGGATCCAAAGGCCAGCGGTACCCATCTTGGTGCTTCCCGGGACCATATGGGGAAGGCTGGGAGACCCACAGGGTGATGAGGTAGAGCCAAGCCCGAGGACTTAAGAACTGGACCTGACCTAAATTCCTTCCAGGCACGAAGTATCTTTCTAGAGAGGTTAGACAATGGTGGCTGAAGGTTTATATTGAGTTACTGCGACTCTATAAGTTATAGAACCTCAGAAACTAAAGAAAAGAAAATGGGTGGCCTTGACTGTGTGGGAGAGTTTGAAGCAAGACCAGCAAAGGATGCTCATGTGTTCTAGAGATTGCTGTCTCTTGTCCAGTCAGTATTGTCCTTGCATCTAAGTGCCTCGTGATCCAAGGTGTCCCATCTTTGCAACGATGTTTATGCATTTCTTTTCTTACACCGTGAAAATCTGTGCTTAGCTAAAGCAGAGCTGAGGAATGAGGATGGAGTGTTTTTCCAAAGCTGAGGCGCTTAAGCAAAGGACGCCATCAAAGAGCAGGTGTGTACCGAGGTCCCTCAGCTTTCCTTTTGACAATAGGTGAGGTTGGGGTCTCCCAATGCAAGTTCAAGGCCCTGGGGAAAATGAAAGACCAGGTGCTGGTTTGCCTAAAAGGTAGGGTCCACACGGTCAGGGAGAGAAACCTGCAGCCAGGCTCTGGCATCCTGAATACCACCTTGGGGCCCAGGTCCTTGTTTCTTGAAATTGGTGCTGTCTGTGAATGTCATCAGCCCCTCAACACATTTCCTGCTTAGGAAGTTGGTAGCAGCTGTCTATCTCGCTGAAAAGCCAGGTCATTGGATAAACTAGATTTGATAACCCAGAACCCCTCAGGCAAATCAGCCCTAAAGTTGCAGTGAGGGAGTTGTCCTTGGATGCTTCCAGGAGCCCCTGTGGGTGTCACAGAGTGAGAAACAAGCTGGCCATTGGTTCCCAGCCTGGAAACTCATGTGTCCCTGCTGTAGAGGTACATTTGGCCCAGCAGTGCTCCTGGGTCAGCAGCTCTGCCTATAGCTGAGGAGACCCCGAGAAAGACTTGAAGCTCTGTCCTTGAAACTTTGTCCTGGGACTGCCCAGGCATTCCTGCATACAGATCTTTTAACCCTGAGGCAGAACAGGGAGGTATGGGAAGGGGCATAAATTCATTTCAATAGATCAAACTGTGCTTCTCTTCCTGACCGTCCTTCCTTGGGTCTCCATGGCTCCATCTCTGAGGCCATTTATTGAAAACACACCCCTGCTGGTCAGAGGCACAATTTGTAGGCTGAGGCACACTCTGAATTGCACCTGATACTTTCTTCTGGGCATCAACCTTACCCCTAACATGTCCCAAATCAAAGGCATGCCTCCATCACCTCCCCACCCGCACCCAACTTCTCTCAACGCTGTCTTCACCCTTCCAAACACACTAGCCTCCCTTCTGCTTCCAAACGGGTGCTGAACTGGGGCTTATGTTAGGACGGGGCTGTAACTTCAGTGCCTGCAAGCAATCTCTTGCTGGCTGCTGCTAGATAGAGAAACAGGTGATGAAGTAAGGAGCACGTGTGCTTGTTGAATGAGCTTCTGAGCTTTCCATAGGTGTCTGTTGTGATGTATACTGATGTGCACTGGATCTTGGAGAGAGGAGATGACCCTATAAAAGCACTGCAGGGACAGTTCGTACAGGGACACTGAATTGAAGAGACCCTGCAGGATCTCCCAAGGAGGCAGGCTTGGGGGCAGTAAGGGAACAGGAACCACGTACATTCTGTTCCCTAACTTATGCACGCTCTCATTTACTATGCTTGAGTCTCACTTGGGGAAGCTCTGCTCCAAAACAGAAGTGAATGCGGTGGTTAGAAGAGTATTGGGCCTTCTTGGACTGGAGTGTCACTTTAGAAAGTCCTGGGCAATATAGGTCATTGTTGGCTTGCTGCTTCTTAGCAAAAAGAGCTGTGGCCTGGTTTCCCCGGAAGTCCCCCATAGGTCCCCGACTTTCTAAACCACAAGATGTGGAGCCTGTTCAGCCTTCAGCTCAGTTTCCTGACATGTCTTAGCCTCTCCCACACCTCTTTGGACCCTCTGCCAGGCACTGATCGCTCTTCCTCTTGGTTTTACGGAAGGGTATTTGGCCCTATTCTAAAGTGCTTGTTCAAGTCTATTTTAGGTTTTCAGTTATTTGTTTTAATAGTCCAGCTCCTCCTCTACCAGGCTGTCAATAAAGGGTGTGTCTCACAGACCTTTGAGTTCAGACTTGGATTCAAATCCTGCCTCCAGTGTGGTCTCGTTTTAAGGACTCAAGGTCAGACCATGCTGCCCACTGCTCAGGAGTGAACTGGCCATCTCTACTTTGCATGTCTGCTGGGATGGGGTCAGAGGAGGCATATACATTAGAGAGCATGTGGTCAATAACCAGGAAACTGGACATGTTTCCTAAAATACCTAATGCCATATACATCATACACGGCAAGAAACAAACAAACAAGCAAACAAAAACTAGTGTGGAGTCAGGGAGATGGCTCAGTGTTTGCCTTATAAGCAAGAGGACCTGAGTTCGGGCCCCAGAACCTGCATAAAATATGTCAGGTGTGGTGCTGCACACTTGTAATGCTGGCTTTGGGAGGCAGAGACAGGTGCATCTCTGGTTGGTGCTGGTCTGATAGCCGAGCCTGTTTGGTGAGTTTCAGGCCAACCGGAGACACTGTTTCAAAAAAGGTAGATGATATCTGAGAATTGACACTAGAGTTTGTCCTCTGGCCTTCACACACACACACACACACACACACACACACACACACACACACACACGCATGCGCACCGCCTCGATACACACATATGCACAACGAGTGAACAAAATCCATATTAGTAGATAGAATCTTTCTTTGTTTGCCACCTGAAAGAATAGTTCAGATCAATATGATGTGACCCTACTAGGCAACTTTAATTTTTTTTTTTTTTTTGGCGACTTTAATTTTTGCACCATGAAGCTGAACAATTACGTAAAACTTGTGTGGTTTAAGCATCTAATCTCCTGGTGCTTTCGCTTACCGGTGCACCAGGAGTGAATCCATTCTCCATCATGCACCACTGACTCTGGTGTTAGCGGTCCGAGAGGCAAAAGTACAACTTGCTGTGGACATTAACCCCGAAGGGCTTTGTGACCTGAATTAAACCAGGCTGAGTATGCAGCCAGGTAGAAACGAGGCAACCCCCGCACCAAGCAGCAGTGTAGCCCAGAATGAAGCATGCAGAATGGGCATAAGGTCAGCCTTGCAACCATAACATAAAACTATGAAGCTGTGGGTGGCCCCCGAAGTCTCTGAGCTTACTCCTTCCCTCCAAAGAACAGGGCCTCTCTGGGCAGCTCTTAACTGGGGGAGTGGTTCTCACCCTGACATGGGTCAAGTATCAACCACCCTGCACATCAGATACTCACATTATAATTTGTAGCAGTAGAAAAACTACAGCTATGAAGTAGCAACGAAGTAATTTTATGGTTGGGGGATCACCACAACATGAGGAACTGTCCCAGCGTTGGGAAGACTGAGAGCCACTGCTCTTGGAGCTTTCTGATCAGATTCTGCCTAGATGATTGGGATTTATAAACCATACCCAGGGTGACAGGGATATAGAATGTTTTTAATTCTCCCAGAGAGGCAGGTGGGGGGCAGGGCTGCTGCTGAGTGCAGGCTGGGAGAGCCCTCCTTTGGGAATTATGCGCCTAGCCTCCTTTTCTTTTCTCAGCTTCTGCTGCTGGTCCCCGAATCTCACCAGTTGGGGTCTGCCCCCGTCCAGGTGTGCCACACAGGGACTTTTGATGTGGCTCACAGCCTCTGTACACACTGCCTCTGGCTCTCTGCCAGAAGTATGGGTCCCTTTCTTTCAGCCACATAAATAAATACTTCAAAGGGTTTGGTGAAGCCTATGAAATAAAAACTCTGAGCAATATAATTCAGAAAGACAAACGAACATATCCTTTTGCATTGGCTCCCAACGAAGGAGGGGTGAGGTAAAGGGTTTTTAAAGAATGGTCATCTGCTTTAAAATCCCTTTTAAATACAACCAAGAATGCATTTAATCTAGTTTGTCATGAAATTGGTATCAAGTATTAATAACAAAGGGGATTCTGGTTGTTTTTTTGTTTTGTTTTGTTATTACCACCAAACAGATAAAACTCCATGAAGAGGAAGGAAACAATTAAAAAATGGCCCTTAGCTGGGCTGGAAATCTACTGTCAGGTGTTTGGGTGTCAAGTCTGGGAAGAAGAGTGCTGTTTTGATTGGGAAGTTTGTTTGGGTCTCCGACCTGGGTGTGGGCAGCACACTCTGGTCCCTTAGAGGGCCCAGTGTGGGGAGAACAGCATGGCCGTGAGCTCCTGTCGCAGGTGTGTGGAGTCTGTGTCTTCTTGGGACTCAGCACAGT